GGGAAATATTTCAGAATGGAGAAGGAAGACAGGGATAAACATGACAAAGTGTTAAGCAGATGTCAGCTGAAAGAGTTAATCGCAGTGCGACGCAGGCTCTCACACAAGACAGAAATATAACTCTAGGCTTTTTCCAAATGCATTCTTTACACAGCAGAAATAACTTTCGCTTGCACATTAATCAAATTTGTGGGCTTTTTCCCACAATCATTTTAATGCCGACTCCTTAGCGTGTACTAAGCAAATAATTCTTCCAAATACCAAACTTAGCTCATGCCTCAATAGGACTCAACCAAAAATATTAATAGCTTTTCACACCATTCTTTTCCTTGTTTTTTTTTTCTTCTCTCAACAGCAGTAGTTTTTTTTTTTTTTTTTGAAAAAACCACAATTTCTGCATTTAAAAGTAGACATTCTATTTATCTACAGCACAAACTATAGTACAGTATGTTACAAAGAGAGCCAGTTTGGTTAAAGGCACCTAGTTAGAAACCAGGAGATGCAGGGGGTTTCTTGTTCTTCCTCGGGCACAAATTCGGCTGAATGCCCTGGGCCAGTGACAGCCTCATATTTATTTGTTTGATAAAAAGTATCCCACTTTTTGGCGTTTTACGAATAACTCAAGGCAGCGAACATATCCAACACACCTTTCTCCTTTGGTTTTCCTCACAACAACGACAATCCTGTGAAGTGGGTTGGGCTGAGAGAGTAAAGAACCAAAGTCACCCAACTGGCTTTCTTTCACACCTAAGGTGGGATCTGAACTCACAAAAAGAAATCTATGTATATCGGGGCAGTGGGATTTTCCTGATTCTTTCGTGGTTTTTTTTTAGCAGCTTTAGGGGGGTAATCACGAGGGGTTCATTGTTTCTCAGAAAGCTGTGGGTCTTCTGCTGTGGGTTTGGGGGTGATGGCTCTTGGAATCCTTATTAGTCTGAAAATTCGGTAAGGAGACCATGTTATCCTTTAGGGACGCCAATCTGCTCTTCAGAAGTGGCCGTCTCTGGTTCAGTGGGATATGTATTTAGATGCAACCCGAGAACCAGAATGGCGGAATGTCTACCTCAAGGAACTGGGTAATGCCTCCTCTAGCCCTGTTGTCTAGCCTCTTTCTCCACTATTATGCCTTCCAGATGTGAGGGATTTTATCACCCCGAATCCCCAGCCAGCGTCAAAGAGGTTGGGCGAGGCAACTTTGAGATCTTCAACCACAAATGTCTGCTCCACGGAGCCATCAATCCATGTCCCTCCCTTATCTTGCACTCTCTGACTGTCTTTATCAAAACCAATGTTGTTTTAAATAATGTCATCCCTGCTGCGCTAAACCTCAAGCGGGGAGATTTATTAGCCAGATCAGAATCCAGCACATAAAGTGAGATGCTTTCTGCCAAGCTGGGTCCATTTCTCTTTTCTCCCGAGCTGTTATGCTGTTGAAGAGTTCCAGATCTAGGAGGAGGCCCCGAACTATTCAAGGCAAGGCCCCAACGATGAAGGCCGGGCCCAGAAATCTCGTACAAACTTCAGCGAAAGGGTCTCTGAACTCATCACATTTTTTTTTTTTTGCACAACTATGCAAAACCTCTCCCTTTGCATCTTCAGCCAAATGTCATGAGCAGTTGTGTTTCTGAAAGGAGTCTCAGGTCCCAAAGGGAGAGGCAACCCACAATTGTATTCTGCAAATGGGCCCTCCTCCACCCACAGAGATATGCATCCATGTACAAACAGCACAGGTTCTTCCTAAAGGTTGCAGCTAGATCACACTGATCACACTGGGGAATCAGATCTTATGATCAATATTTTTATTTTCCTAGGTCAAACGTGCATTTTTCTTTCATTTGTCCTAAGTGCAAGGATTCTTCCTGTTGTCTCATCTCTCTTGAAGCTCTTGAGTTGTCTAAAGCAAACTTACTGCCAGAAGTAGACAAGTTACTATCATAAACAGTATAAACCAACCACATGTTCAAGTCAAGAGGTCTTATACCATTCTGGTCAAATGCTTGTCACCTCCAGTGATGGAGCAACCACAGCTCCAGGAGGCAAGCTGTCCCGTTGAATAATTGTTCTTAGTGTCAAGAAATTTCTCCTTACTTTGAGGTTGGATCTCTCTTTAAGAAGCTTCCACCCTTAACTTTTTTTCCCTGCCCTCCGGTGCTTTAGAGAATAAGGGAATCTCCTCTTCTCCATGACAGCCCCTCAAGTACTAGAAGACAGCTACCGTGTCTCCACCATCCTTCTCTTTGATAAGAACAGCATCTTGTAAAGACCAATGAATGATTAAAAATATGGCTCTCAAACCTATCTAAGACTCAACCACAAAAGATATCCCAAAACATCTGTTGATGCCAATTGTGCGTTAGTGTCTCAAGTTTGCTTTGTGAAGTATGTTTTCTTCCAAAACAATTGAAAATACTCCAAAGAGTAAGATGCCTAAAGCTAAGCTTTTTTTTTAAAAAAAAGCATTTTTATCTCCTTTTGACAGATGGGGAAAGATTTAATTTTGGGTGAAAAAGAACAATCCTTGTTGTTAGTTTTATGATCTATTTCAAATGAATGAAGCATTGATCGGATAGCTGAAATGATGTTGTCTCAGGTGCTGAATAATCAACCCCTTGCTTTTGGACAACAAAATGTGTTGGCTAAGTTACCACATGCAGGAACACATCTTATATCCCCTGCCTTTGGTGGAGATGAGTCTTTGAACACACCAAGCCAAAGCTAACCATACAGTCTCCAAATTGAGCATTGAGATCAAACAAACCACAAGGTCCCAAACCGATTCAAGTAACACATCCAATCCACTGCTGAACCTAGTAAGACACACAACTGACTTTAATGTTACATTTAGAAAAACAATAACACCCAAATCACAGTATTCCTTCTGCTTTTTCAATGAACTGGCATCAGAAATCTGCCCAACACATGACACGCCACAAGAGAAAGCAATACATACACGACACAATGCAGCAGATGTATATAGTCCATAAATGATTCAACGGTTGAATTGGTTCTGCCTCCCTAGAATTTTAATCTGTTATTTCATGTCCTGCACTCTGTCAGTGTTCCAGTGAAACTCCCTATTCCATTCAGCACTCAGAAACAAAGTTTATCTAAGTAAGAATTTATTGAAGAAGTCATACTGGCACATCTGAGAAAAACCCGAATCTGAGAGTTTTGGGTTTTCACTTCCCAACTGAAATTCACAAAACCATCCCCTGCACCCACCCGTCTTTCCCATGGTCCAATCACCCGTTGTCCCAACTGGAGACATTCCTCCAGTCACTCCTTTCCAGGTGCAGAGTAACTTGTCCTTGACTTTATGGGAAGAAGGTTGTTATGTCTAAACTTCCACCACTCCGTGAAATCCTCCCTCCCAAATTCCCAGGCACTAAGATGTGGCAGTGTGGAAGCTTCTAAGTCAGGGGTGTCCAACCTTGGCAATTTTAAGACTTGTGGACTTCAACTTCAGCTTTGCTGGCTGAGGAATTCTGGGAGTTGGAAGTCCACAAGTCTTAAAGTTGCCAAGGTTGGACACCCCTGTTCTAAGTAAAATATGGCTTCCAAAGCTGACACACTCTGGGATAACCAAGAGCAGATCACGATATCCCTTCAGACAATTGACAAATGTGATTATATCAAGGCTATACCTACCCTTAACTAGGTAGAAGATTACTAGTTGGCCCAAAAGAAGAAGAAGAATCTTTCCCTAGCTAAAGATTTTGAGAACAAGCTCTGAACTAGAAGGAATTAAAAGTTTGGGAACTTGTAAAAAGGTGAGGGTGGGATATTTCCTTCTTAGGAGTTGCCTTGAATTGAATGTACCGTGCCATTTTCATGGGGCAGAATAATAGCAACATTCCTGTTCTAAAAATGAATCGCACTCCTTGGCCTGCCTGGGAAGAAAACCCACAAGCCGTTTCCCAGGGTTTGTTCAATCCCCAGAGCTTCACAGCTTGGCTAGTACCAACGTTTGGTAGATGTAGCCTGAAGACCTGTCTGCACCAAATCAATCTCCCAGGGCTGAAGTTTCCCAAAGCTGCTGCTTCGTCCCGCTAGCTACCATTTCGCTTACATCAGAAGCGTCTTTCCTGTTTTCGTATATGGCCGTCTAGGGAGCAATGATGACATCTATATTTTGGACAAAGTAGATGAAAACAGGAGTGGTAGAGCGACGAAGGAGAGTGATGCAAAGAGGTCCACTTTGGGGTTCAATCATACTATCGCAAAAGTCAGATCAAAATAATGCTTTGTTAAGAAGAAGGAGGAGGAGGAGGAGGAAGAGGAGGAGGAGAAGGAGGAGAGGAAGAGCAGGAGGAGAAGGAGGAAGAAGATGGTATGACCAAAGAGAACCAATTGGACAGATAACTTTTTAGGTCCTCCACTTCTGGTTCATCTCATGTATTAACTCATACCTCCCCTGGCATGTCACCTAACGTTCCTTACAAAGCCTATTATTGTTTTCGAGCACTCAATGGTTCAATTTCCACCAGTGGAAGAGGATAAGTGATCTCATGAGCTTTCTTTTGACCGGCGTCCTTTCTAGGAAGAAGCAATCTTCCAAGAAGCTTTCATTCAACAATGTTCCAAGGAACACTCTTCTCAAACCAACATAGGCTGACTCTCTTTTTTGCTTTTATGCCGCTTCCTCCTCCTCCTCCTCCTCCTCCTCCTCCTCCTCCTCCTCCTCCTCTTCCTCCTCCTCCTCCTTCTTAACAAAACATTATTTTGATATGACTTTTGTGATAGTATGATTGAACTCCAAAGTTGACCTCTTTGCATCACTCTCCTTCGTCACTCTACCACTCCTGTTTTCATCTACTTTGTCCAAAATATTTTCATCTACTTCGTCCAAAACATTATTCTCTATCTGGTTTCTTCCAAATCACTTGGGACCTACCACACCCAGGGATCCTGAAGGCTGAATAGGGAATTCTGGCATCCGCAGGACCAACAGATCACTCAACTAGAAGAAGATGTCTTTGGGCAGAGGTGGACCGACTTACCTAAGTAATTGTTGCTCTTGGACATCTCAGTGATGTTGATTTTGGTGGCCCCTTCTGGAATTTCGACTATTTTATGGTAGCCAAGGTTGGTCAGGCTGTGCTTGAAGACTCCCGAGATGACCCTGCAGGCTGTGTTGTCTCCTCCGCAGATTCCACATTTGTCCACCACCTTATCGGAACCCAAGTAGTCATCGCAGCCAATACTCTGTCACGGGAAAGGAAAGAGAACCAAGTGGTCAATATAGGGACGGCATCAGAACCGGGTTTCAAGAAAGCAGAGTAAAACTCAGTGAAGACCCATCTCCAACTCGGAACATATTTTTGTATTTCTGCATTTCAGAAGTGAGGATAAATTACTGTAGATCGACCTTTCTCAAAGTATGGTCTGAGGATCTCTGAGGACACCAACGTGATTTGTCAGCCTATGTGGAAACAATAATCCCACCAAACACTTGCAGGAAGCAGTAGTGGCAGTGAAGGGTGTCGATTTAAAATTTTAATATAATAAATATTGTTAAACTAGCTCGATACCGGTGATTCACTAACGAAACTATGTGGTCAGGTTTAGTTTTTGGGGAGGAAAATAAGGGGGTGGGGGCGGAATTCTGCCTACCAGCATCCAATGGTATTCATCTGGCTAGTGTCCCATCAGTGTGTAAGAGAGTTGAGGGCTGTTTGGAAACTGAAACAGTATTTGCTGTGTGAGCAAGAAGGAGACAGCAAGGAGCCTGGGCGTGGCTTAGCTCAACTGTTCTGTAGTAAAGCTGCTTGCTGCTGTGAAACTGAAACTAAAACTGAAAGTCCTCTGCTTGTGTTTTGCATTTGGAAGAGATTTCTTTTCAGGAGGGGAGCGGGAGTAGAACTCCTTAGCATCAGAGCGTGTTAATAATACTATTAATATACAAAATACTAATGGAATACGAAATTCTAAGAAAGGGATTTAAAAAAAAAATCCTTTCTTAGTGAGCCCCTAGAAGCCAAGAGGAACATATGTGCCAAATTTCAAATTTGTAGGCTTTACGGTTCTGGGGATTTTGTGATGATGCGTGAGGGGTCTTTCGCTTTTATATATATATATAGAAGATAGAACAGAAGAAGATAGATTTAAGAACCATCATGGTATGAAGGCTTCTTCTCCATGGATCTCCAAAAATGTTGGAAGCTCTTAAAGATGTAACCAGTCTCAGCATCAGATAATCACAACCAGGGTAAAGAGAAGCCCTTTTTACACTTACCATGCTTATCTCGGGAGATGCGAAGAAATTACAGATCAAAGATTTTCTACTGTAAACAAAGAGAAAAATGCCTCTGGCTCCAAACCCCAATCTCTTCCCCATTCACTGCTGGTGGTTGGTAAATTGGAATTGACATATTGGGGGTTGACAATGCTGTCCTGCTTTGCCTTAATGGTTGTTTGGTTTGAGCTTTCATTTTGTTTTTATTGTTGTTTAATTTAGTATTATAGTGCTTAATATTATATTTTGTAAACTGCCCAGAGTCCACTGGGGAGGGTAGCTATATTAGATCTGTCAAGTCAAGTCAAGTCGAGTCAAGTCAAGTCAAGTCAAGCCAAGCCAAGCCAAGCCAACTCAACTCAACTCAACTCAACTCAACTCAAGGCAAGCCAAGCCAAGCCAAGCCAAGCCAAGCCAAGCCAAGCCAAGCCTAGTCTACTAATGCAACACAACACAACACAACTAACACCAAGCCTAGTCTACTAATGCAACACAACACAACACAACACAATGGTGCTTTTGTTAACGATTCCGTCACTTGAAAGTTCTTTAAAAAGTCTTTCCCAATGAAATCCAATGAAATTACAAGTGGGCCAATTTATTCCCCAAACCAAGGCAGACTTTCTTTACTCCCCCTTTTCTAAGCAATGGAATTCACTAAGTTGTCATCACTTCTTTGGAAAGGAGCTTCTGGGTTCTACTGACAAAATAATAAATTCTGGTGTGACAACCATTCAGCCAGACGTTGGTACACTGTAGAAACCCTTTATTCTGCTGCCTTACTAGGGGCTTTCTCTTCCAAAGGCCAGAAGTAGATATTTATAACTCTGATGAGTTATGGCACATTGGCCAGACAACTGTAATTGGTCCAAAACTGAATATCACTGGACTTGGGACTTTGGCCAAAACAATTTTAGGGGTGAAAAATAAAGCAATTTTTCTGGCATGTTATTTTTATTTTTTTGTGTGTTTTTTTTTGTCGATGTGTGTTGTAGCTGCTTCAAGCAGCTCAACACTTAGGAATGTTTCTGAGAACGGTGAAAAAACTCAGCCCACAGCACAATGGAGAAGCTGATCGGGTTCATGATGGATGACAGAATGGGTTGCCTGTTTTCCTCCATTTTTCATGGGGATATATTGGGACCAGATGATATGATAGGGGAAGGACAGGAAGAAGGCCTGGGGTGGGGCGGGGGGAGGATGTAGGCCAAGATGGAAAGAGGAGATGATTTTCCATCAAGGATTTGGGAGAGATAGATTAAAGCCGCCTCTTTTTTCGGCAAGGCATTATCTCTCAAGCTGGATCTTCTCTTCCAGCTGGGAGAAGACTTCAAAGGAGTGAGTCTCATCACTTTCCTTCCAAACAAAAGACTCCTCTTCCAGATTAGGGCATTCTTGGTATCTAGGAATAACGGAATATCATAGTTGGAAGGGAGCTTGGAAATCTTTTAATCCAACCACCTGCTCAGGCAGGACACACTATACCATTCAGAACAAATGATTGTCCGATCTCTTAAAAACCTCTCCTATTTTCCTAAGTTGGGCTGCGAGAGAGTGACTGGTTTAGAGTCACCCAGCTGGATTTCCTGGCCTGAGACAGGACTAGAATGCTGGATGCTCTGCTGTGGATAAGACGACGCTCCTGAGAGTCATCAACACAGCACAAAAAGTCATCGGTTGCTCTCTTTCTTCTTTGGAAGAGATGGTGAAGAGCAGACTCCTCTCTAGAGCACTAAAAATCTCCACAGACCTTTCTCATCCTGGACATTCATATTTCGAACAGTTATCATCAGGGAGGTGTGATAGCTGTCTTGAAATGAGGACCAATAGACTGAGAAACAGTTTCTTTGCCAAGGCAGGAATTGTCTTGAATCAAACAGGGCATTTGTGATTTAGCCCTATGTATATAGTGGCATTTTTAAACTATTTAACTTACTAAATGTTTTAGATAGGTTTTAGACTAGGGTGGTTGTTGTTTGCTGTTGTTGTTGCTGTTGTTGTTGCTGTTGATGTTGTTTGTTGTTGATGTTGTTTGTTGTTATTTGTTATTTGTTGTTGTTTGTTTGTTGTGGTTTGTTTGTTGTTTGTTGTTTCTTGTTTGTTGTTTCTTGTTGTTTCTTGTTGTTTCTTGTTTGTTTATTTGTTGTTTGTTTATTTGTTGTTTATTTATTTATTGTTGTTGTTTGTTGTTTGTTATTGTTTATTGCTGTTTGCTTCTTGTTGTTTGTTGTTGTTGTTGTTCAGAATATTAAATAGATGCATTGGAGAACAGTTTCCCACCCCTGCCATAAGAAAGGGGTCCTGTCCTTTTCTTATGGCATGGGGCCCACCAATGACATAAGCCCATTGCAGTTTGGTCTAGAAGTATATATTGGTATATTTTGTTTCCCATGTGGAGATTCAGAGAACAATAAACAAACGGGATTTATTGCATCAGGAGAAACCCTCGAATTCCAAGTTAATTTCAGAAAGTTATGCAGGTTCAATTAATGTTGGTTTTCAGTCTTCTGGTTTTTTTTTTTAGTTTTTTTTTTTTTGAGTTCCACGGCCCCTGGTGTCATGTTTATTCTGAATTTTGAAGGAAGGGGCTCCAGGAGGCCAAACAAAATGGGAAACGAGCCAGTTGAGGCTGAAGATTGGCTCAATTTTTGCTAAGGAATCTGAAAAGAAATATAATAATAACACCAATTTTTTGGGGGGTGGGGACGGACTTTTTGTATTTGCTCATTCAAGTGATTCCAGAGCAACTCTGGGAATCCTTTGGAAACTCATTAGGAACTTCTGAGTGAGACTAGCCGTCGTGAACGAGTTGTGTCCCCAATCAACAAGGGAGCTATTGGCCCTCCACGAAGTACATGGATGGATGAAAAATTAACCCCAACCCCCTGGAATTTGTGCCCCAAGATGCCTGTTCTGCACCCCCCCCTAGCAAAAATGAAAATTCAGAATGAAAGCCCAGACCAAGAATAAATAATAGCTTTCACTTATATGTTGGATAGAGGCAGAGATCTGAATACAGAATAACAGAGCTGCAAGGGACCTTGGAGGTCTTCTAGTCCAACCCCCTGCTCAGACAGGAAATCCTATACCATGTCAGGCAAATGGTTGTCAAATCTCCTCTTAAAATCTTCCAGTGTTGAACCCCCAGAACTTCTGGAGGCTAGTTGGTTAATTGTCTTCACTGTTAGAAAATTTTATCCTTAGTTCCAGGTTGGATCTCTCCTTGATCAGTTTCCATCCATTATTGTGTAGCCTTCGGGTGCTTTGGGGAATAGTTTGAACCCCTCTTCTTTGGGGCAGCCCCTCAGATATCGGAATACTGCTTTCATGTCACCCCCTGGTCCTTCTCTTCTTCATCACTTCAGTTCAGAAACCCAGGTGGGCAGGAGAGAAGGGAATTCAGAGAAGCATCACATCTGGACGAGAAGAAAAATAGCTTCGCTGCTTCCTCCGTCCCTTTATTCCTGGGTATTAAATCACTCTCAGAAAAGCCAAGCTGCAGACAGTTACACAAAGAGCAGAAATGCCCTTCCACTGAGTTTAAAAACACGACTTACATAACTCATAACATTTGATCTCCTCGTTTCCTACGGAGCCTCCAAGGCTGGCGCTGTGGATGGATTCTGCAACAGATAAAGACGAGTTGTGGTGTTCTTAGAGCAAACAAAAAAGCGCATTTCCAGCCTCTAAATGGGAACCAGAAAAAAATATTTTTGGTAACCACAACGGCGAAGAACGCATTGTTGCATGCTGGTAAACAGCAAAGTCCCGCTGGCTTCGCACACTAGGACAAGCCATGATCGAACGACGGTTTGTGGCTTTGTGGTTTGAGGCTTTTACGACGGTTGTGAGCTGCCCCAAGTTGCGTTTTTAAGACGGGCAGCCCGACAAATCTTTTCAAACAAATAAATGATCCAGAGAAAGAGTAAGCCAAAAATAAGGATGACCAAATATATTGGGTTTATTAGGC